TGATTGCATTCGTTATAAGGAGTTAATATAAGAATTTGACACATTTAAATTCTTTTTTTTTTTTTTTTTTGGTGGAACCGAGGATTGAACTCAGACCCTTGTGCTTGCCAAGGAAGCACTTATTCCACTGAGCCATCTCCCTGGCCCCTCGAATTTGACACATTTAACCTAAAAGTTAAACACTTTTTAAGAGTGGAATTTTTATTTATTTATGTATCTTTTTATTTATTTGTGGAACTGGGGATTGAACTCAGGCCCTTGCGCCTGCCAGGGAAGCACTTATTCTACTGAACCATCTTCCTGGCCCAGGAGTGAAATTTTTAGAATAGTGGTGTCCATTTACAGCAGTGATGGAGCACGTCGGCCTGCCCCCCCCCAAGCATACACTGTACCCCACCAGTCCTCTGTGAACGTGCCTGTTTCCCACATTCTCCACAGTGTACTTTCAGACTCGTGAGTTTTGCCGATCTGATAAGAAAAAGCACAAAAAAGCTCTCAGTGCTATCTGGATTTGCATATCTGTAATTGTGAGCTGTGAGCTTTCATGTGCTGAGCATAATTTTTGCTCCTGTGTTTGTGGACAGCCTGTCCTTTGCCCATTTTTTTTTTCTTTCCTTTTCTGTTTCCTGTCCACTGTGAAGGACAGAGATGACCAGGCAGGAGAGAAGATACACAGGGACAGCCACCGTGGCCCGGGAGCTCCATGCACTCCACAGCCTGGATGCTTCCTGGTGTGTGTTTAGTGTGAAACCCTTTTACTAGCTGATCCTTGCGGTCCAGTGTGTGGCAAAGAAATTACTTCTTTGAGGTAGATACTGTAAATTTTTTCCTGTCTTTGAAGAAGCCTCTGATTTTACAGTGCTTCTGCACACATACTTTTATTGTTTGAGGCAGGGTTTCACTGTGTGGTCTGGGCTGGCCTTAAACTAGCTACTGCACAGGCTGCCCTAATCTCAGGACTGCTGCCTCAGCCTGGGTGGCGTTCCTTGTGCAGGCAGCAGCACACCGGGCTTTGGAGGGTTCTGTTTCTGTTTTGTGTTGTCATTAATAATCTCTTAAGCCTTCACTGTGGTTTCTGTCTCCTGGTGTGTTCTGAAAATGATGGCTCAGGGTTAGCTCATTGCAGTGCCTCCAATAGATGTCTTTGTTTAACTATTACTTACTTTAAATTTACTGTGCTATAAAGCATGAGGTAAGGTTACTGCCTGTTCTTCCCCCCATACTGATAATATTATTGAGTTATCATTTTCTCCCTCAGTGATTGTTTTATTTTGTTTTTATATTTTTGAGACAGGAACTTGCTGTGGCTCAGGCAGACCTTGAACTCACTGTGTGACCCAGGATGGCCTCCAGGTCACAGCAGTCCTCCTACCTCAGCTTCTGAGGTGCTGGGATTACGGGTGTGCACCAGCACATCTGGCCTCCTCCCCGGCATTAAACATCATTGTTACCAGATATGTCAGTATTTCTTATATTTGAGTGTATTTCTTCACTTCTTGTTTTGTTCTATTGATTTGCCTGTGCAGACATTCACCACTGACACTTTTTTTTTTTTTTGCAGAACAGGGATTGAACTCAGGCCCTTGCACTTGCCAGGGAAGCTCTTATTCTACTAAGCCATCTCCCCAGCCCCACATTTAATTACTAAGATTTTTTTCAATAATTTTAATTCTTGGTTGGGCATGGCAGCGCACACCTATAATCCCGTTTGGGAGGCTAAGTCAAGAAGATCCCTGGGAGTTCAAGGCCAGTCTGAACTTTATGGTGAGACCCTGTCTCAAAAAATAGAAGTAATAATAATAATTTTAATTCTTACATACATCTAGTCCTCTTTTTCTTTCTCAGAATTTTCTTGGCCATTCTTCTTTTTTCTGCTGGTGCTAGGAATCAAGCCCAGGACTTGTGTACACTTCCACCACTGAGCTGAAGCCCCAGCTCTCTGTACATTTTTTTTTTATCCACTGATTTTGGGAATTTCTTTCTATGAAGTTGTCAGAGTTCTTATACAGTTCATATATCAATGCCTAATCTGGTGTATGGCTTGCTGCTGTTTTCTCTCAGTACATTGGCTGCCTTTTCCTCCATGGGCTGTTTCTTCTGCTATGCAGAAACTTTTCCATTTGATGTAGTTCCATTTGTGATCTGTTTTTGCTTTTGTTGCCTGAGATTTTGGAATGGTATCTAAATCACGAGGAAGGCTAATACCAGGGAGCTTTTGTTCTACATTTGCTTTTCAGAGTTTTATCATTTCAAGTCCTATATTTTGGTCTTTGCTCTATTTCATGTTGGTTTCTGTGCATGGTGTTTAAGTTCGGGGTACAGTTTTTTATTTTTTGTGTGGATATCAATTTCCCTAACATTATTTGTTGAAGAGCTCATTGTTGACTTAAGCTGTCTCCTTGATGAAAATTAGCTGACTATTATGCTTCAGTTTATTTCTGGTCTGTATGTTCTGTTCCATTGTCTCTGTTTAGTTTTATACCAGTTCTGTAATGTTTTGATTAATGTAGCTTTAAAATGTAATTGGCAGCTTGTCTTCTGGATGGTTAACAACCTAAGTTTGCAGACCAAAATTAGAGAAAAAGGAGGGCTACAAGGAATGCCAACATTTTGGCCCCAACCTTCTAAGGTCAATTAAGACTCAGGACATATGAGAACTTGTACTGTAACGTCATGTACCTCGGTAGTGTCCCAAATTTTCTGATCAAGAAGATTATGAGGCCAAAGAGGAGAGTGATCGATGACGTAGAGTGTGCCTAAGGAGAGTCACATGGGGAGAAGACACTCTCTCAGGCTTTCACAGAGAGCACATTGGCCAAGCAATGGCCGTGACTCATCCACATGGCTGCCGCTGACAAAGGTTCTACAATCTGAGGTACAGGATCTCAAGATAAATCCTGAGGACATTTCGCTGACCTTCTCAGACCAAAAAGCTACAACTCTTGTTGCATAGGTCCTGCTTTACCTTGGTCTTAACCATCCAGTAGAAAAGTATGAAGACGAAATATAGGAAATAAAGCCATGCTGTTATGTTGAGCTGTGGGGGACTCAGGTCAATAATTTCTGACATTGCCAGTTAAACAGAAGACCCAATGCTATTATGGGCTACTGGACTCTTTTAGAATATTTTGCTGAGTTTACACACCTATAATATTCAATAACGGAACTTAGAAAAAATGGGGTATACCGATGAATGTCCATTTTGTATCTGTGTATTCCAAGTGGTTAGGATAGATATATAGTTGCATTCTCTTAATGAAAGACTGATTTGTTCTAATGGTGTTTGTAAATAGGATCACAAGTCCACTTCTTGTACAGCAATTAACCACTAAGAAGAATATATGCAGTGTATTATTTGTTGAAACAGTACTTCCGATTGGATTTGAAACTGTCTCATTGCTGTTTATCAATAAAACTTTGAAAAAAAATAAAATGTAATTGGCGATCAGGCCTACTAATTCAGAAACGATGGAAATGAAGGAAGAAGAAAGCCCCTTCCCTCCCTCAGCTCACTGCCGTGATGGTGGTCACTTCAACAGTTTGGTGTAGTTTTCAGATTTATTATGTAAGTGTGTAAATTGGATGCATTTCCTTTCCACTGACCTGTATGTTTTGGACTTCACTCCATGCTAGTACAGAGAGGTCTGTATTTTTCTCAGGGTGGCATCATTTTCCCTTGCAGGTGTCTGTTACTTACTTACTGGTCCTTTACTGAATTTCGCTTTTGCGATACGGGGATTGAGCTCAGGGGCTTTGTGCTTGCCAGGCAGGCACTTGTGCTCGGAGCCATATCCCTGGCCCCAAACTTTCTCTTTTGTAGTTAACTGTGTGCAGCTCATGAGAATATATGGAAGGAAAAGTTATAGAAGCGGGCTTATGAGGAAAAAGAAACGCATGCTGCACATTTTTTAAGTATTTGCAAATTTTCCCCCAAGAGGCCACATTAATTTACGCTGTCCCCAGAGCCCTGAGGCAGTGACTGTTTTGTCATCATTCTTTCAACCCTTTGACAGATGAACAGTAAATCCCACTGCTTTAATTGATCCTGTTATTGGAGGGATGTAGTACTTTTTAATGACTAGGGGCCATTATTTCTTAATTGAATTCAAAAGAACTCAAGATATGTTAGTTTCCCATGTGGTTCTAGATGGTGACTTTGTTAGATGTCTTTTTGTTCAAAACTTTTCCATCTCTGTGCAGCTAAATCTGTTAGTCAGCTTTTGTGTTCTGCTTGGGAAGACTTTTTCCCAGGATTATACAGTCTCCATTGTATTCTGGTCTAAATTCATGTTTCTTTTTTTTTTTTTTTTTTTTGTAAATTCATGTTTCTTCTGATTAGAGAGCAGCCTCTCCACCTTTTTTCTGAACTGTCCATGATCTTCTTGCTGATGTGAACATTATCAATAAAAAGCATTCCCTGAGATTCCATGTAAATAGAGACTGTGACTCAGCTTTTTAGCAGGCATCAACATTACTTGATAAGATGAACGCCAATGCTTTAAAACATAGTAGAGCACCCAGATGTGGTGGCACACGCTGGTAAACCCAGCACTCTAGAAGGCTGAGGCATGAAAATTGGAAATTTGAGTCCAGCCCGAACAACTTAGTGAGCTCCTGTCTTGAAATGAAGAGGACTAGTAATGATGCAAAACCCTGAGCTCAATCCCCAGTGGCATAAAAAACAACATGGGTCAGAAATATAACTCAGGGATACAGCACCTGCCTGGCAAGCAAGAGGTAGTGAGTTCAACTACCAATACCAAAAAAAAAAAAAAAAAAAGCACTAAGAATATGAGATGGAAGTGTTTCAGCTTTCTGTAGTTTGCTATCAGTTCCTAAACGCCAACTCCTGATATCGTATATTTGCCCTGTGATAGCTGGTGAATCTTATTATGAGGTGGAACAGTGAGGCAGTGATCTTTGAGGGATGGAGCTCATGCCCACGCCCCCTCGCGCTGCAGTTCTGGTCCTCATGCTGCCTCTCACCTGTTCCCCCACAGCCCAAGTGCGACGGCCAGGTTCTGCTGGCACAAGTGTGGAAGCATTTAAATCTGATCGAGTGTGACTACTTCGGGCTGCAGTTTCAGAACATCCAGTCCTACTGGGTATGTGCTTTTGATTTGTTTTGGGGAATGGGTTTTAGCAGTGTTGTAGTACATTCATGATGGGCCTGGTCCAGAACCTTTTGGGACCTGCTGCAATGATGTAAGCAAATAATTTGGTAATTGGCCATCATTCTTAGCAAAACTGTGCTATTAAAATGTTTTCTTTTCAGTTGCAGGGAATACTTGAATCTAACCCTGAATCTGAGTCCTCCCTTCTCAAACTGCCCCTTAGCATGTAGCTGGGGAAGCCCACGCTGCCAGAGTTACCATGGCAACTCTGGCCCCTCCCCCAGCCCTCCCCTTGAGCATTGTGAAGTGGTCTTGAGCAGACAGGCTGATTCTGGCTCGCTTTGCTCCACAGGTGTAACCTCAAAGTCATACAGTGTTAGTGTTTACAGAAGCACTTGTTGCAAAGAAACCAACATGAATGAGCCCCTTGCTTGAGAGAGCCCTCTGCTCCTGTTGCACAGCTGGCCTCCCTGGGACTCTGCTCTGTCACTGTTCACGAATGCAGTGTGTGCCAAGCTTGTGTTTGGTGCTAACATGCATGCACACGTGCTTACTGGGACCTGCTCTGGGCATGGGGCATCCCGGCTGACAGCAGTTTCAGTGTGCTCCCGTGTGGCTAACTCTCCTGACAGTTTATCAAGATGCCAAAATATTCCTGTCATGCCACCAGGGAGGCTGAGGCAGGAGGATCATCCAAAGTTCAAGGCCAGGGACCAGGGAGATGGATCAGTAGAATAAGCGTTTCTCTGGCAAACGCAAGGGCCTGAGTTCAATCCCCTGTTCTGCCAAAAAAAAAAAAAAAAAGTTCAAGGCCAGCCTGAAGTGTGCAGTGAGATCTTGTCTTAAAAAAAAAAAAAAAATCCTGTCATAAATATTTCTCTTAATTATAAATATCTTTGTATTCCATGCCATACTTATTAATGGGAGAAATTGTTTAATAGATTTTTTTTCTCTTCTGTTAAATCCTCTTTAGATTTGGCTTGAACCTATGAAACCTATCATTAGACAAATACGAAGTAAGTTCCATGTTTAATTCTTTAAAATTCTGTTCATTTAAACTGCTTTCTTCTGAACCGTTCTGGACTCTAGGTTGTCTCCGTTTATCATCGCCTCTGTAAGAGGTGGTGACATGATCACTGGCAGTGGGTAGACTTGAAAATCACTTTGCTGTTTAGTTTAAACCATAGTATGGTTGAGAAGGGATAACAGCTCAACTAAGATACTTCTAGGTGACTTGATTCAAATTTAGAAGTCACTGCCAGGGATATGGCTCAGTGGTATGAAACTTGCCTACTGTGTGTGACATCTTGGGTTCAATACCCAAAAAACAAAAGGAGTCACAGGATTTTTTGCTTGATAGTTTAATTTTTTACCAATATGCAAAACAATTTATAGGTTATGAAAAGACATTGAGATGCCTTTAAAAGTAGTATTTTAATAAAATCATTAATGTAAAATTATAAGCAGAATTCTGTATTTTTATTAGTTTCCTTATTAAATTTAAAATTTAAAAAGGCATTGTAATGCTTCCTAGTTTTATATCATCTTGAACACCTAAGTATAGTTATCTAAACCATTTTTTTGAGAACTAAATAGATGAGAAAAGATTACGTGAAAGTAAAGTTCTGATAACCTAAGGCTGTTTCTCATAGCATTTTAGAAAATAACTTTTCTAGCCCAGGCATGGTGGAGCACATCTATAATCCCAGTAATCAGAAGGCTGAGGCAGAAAGATTGTTGGAAGTTTGAGACCCGCCTGGGCTACAAAGTAAGCTCAAGACCAGTCTGAGCTGCGTAGCAAGACCCTGTCTCAGAAACACAAAAAAAGAAAAATGAAAATGACTCTTCTTTAAAAAAAAAGAAAAAGAAAGATTGAAAATTACATGGTCATCCTACTCTTAAATTTCTTTTTTTTTTTTTTTTTTTCAAAGTTTTATTGACAAACAGATAGCAATGAGACAGTTTCAAATCATATCGGAAGGACAGTTTCAACAAATTTATCGGAAGGACAGTTTCAACAAATTTAAATTTCAATGACATGAAGATATTCAGGCCAGCTGTATCACATCCCTTTTTCTTTGGGTTTTTTTTGGGGGGGGTTTGTTTTTTGAACTGGGAATCGAACTCAGGACCTTGTGCTTGCCGGGAAGGCACTGTGCTGCTGATCTATATCCCTAGCCCTGTTCATTTTATGGTAATCAGATTGCTCTGGCTCTTTCTTTTCTTTTCTTTCTTTCTTTCTTTCTTTTTTTTTTTTTTTGGCAGAACCAGGGGTTGAACTCAGGGATTGAACTCAACTTGCGCTTGCCATGAAAGCGCTTATTCTATTGAGCCATCTCCCTGGCCCCGCCCCGGTTCATTATAGTAAGGGGTTGTGATATTTTCTTTTCACTTATGTACAGCAGGAGTTCCAAAATAATGTTTTTCTGTTACTATAGTTAATTGGTATAAACACCTTTACTTTATCTTTTTACCCTGAAATATAAATAGGCATATATTTTAATTTTTTATTTTTCTCAGTACTTTGAACTCAAGTCCTCAAGCATACCAGGCAGCATTGTACCACTGAATTACATCCCCAGTCCTATATTTAACAATTTTATTGGACAAATTTCTATTTTTAAGGGTCCCTTTAATAATCTCTCCTAATAGTAAAAGATAGGAAATTTCTCTTTGATATATGTGATTGGACATGGGGAGATGGATCAATAGAATAAGTGCTTGCCTGGCAAGCATAAGGGCCTGAATTCAATCCCTGGTTCCGCAAAAAAAAAAAAAAAAAATTAAGATATATGTGATTGGAACTTAGTACTCATAAATTTATGTATAGGAAATTTTGTAACTTTTTTTAAAAATTGTTTTAACAGTCCATTTGAAAATACCAGCTTAGTTATGTAATAATGCATGGAGAAAATACAAATAGAATAACTTCATTTTAAAGTTTAAAGTTTTTCATTTTGTAGGGCCAAAGAATGCAGTACTTCGGCTCGCTGTAAAGTTTTTCCCACCTGATCCTGGCCAGTTGCAAGAGGAATACACCAGGTAAGGAGCCCACATTGAACTGGACGGCTCTCGACTGGGACCTGGGAGTCACTCATCGGTCCTGAAGGATTGCGAGCCAGCAGTGCTGTGAAGGGTTATGTGAGGCAGTGTACGTATGAAAACTAGTCAGCATCTAGTAATTAAAACGTGCACCGTGGCAGTTGACCCTCGCTCAAATGTTACCAGAATTTAGAAGAAATTTCAGGTACAGGCCTGAGCATAAGAGGAGGAATGGTGTTTACAGTGATGTTGGCCAGATCATTTCCAGACATGTTTGAAGTTCCTCGGACCACGTGTGGTGATGATGCCAGCTTCCCGAGGCTGAGGCAAGAGGGTTGCAAGTTCGAGCCCAGCCTGGGCGTTTTAATGAAATCCTGTCCCAGAGCAAGAAAGAGACCAAAAATATAGCTCAATGTGAACCTTCTGGGTGGAATGCCCAGTACTAAAAAAAAAGAAGTTCTGTCTACTTTCAACAAAATTTACATAATTGGGAGAAGTATCTGGTGCGATGATCCTTATGAATATGTAGAATAAAACTATTTTGGGTAATTTATTTTGTCACTTCCGTTAACTTGAGGTTGCCCTTTTGCGAACATGACTAAAGGAAATGGTAAGAGTGCCTGTCTGAGCGGGGCCATCATGGAGAGTTCTGTTACCCTTCTGTAGCATGCATTTGCTCGTTTTGTGCTGGGGAACAATACCACGGCTGGGAGCTCCAGGCCACAGATAGGTGAAGAACGGTGCCAGCACCCTGCAAGTTCTGCAGCACAGTGACTCAGCTCTAGGCCCCAGTGAGCGAACGGGGCTGCCAAGCAGACCACCCATCTTGTGTACTCCTGCTGAGAGGTCCTGCAGGTCATAGCAGCATCAGCTGCGAGGAACAGGGCGGGCCCATTGGTGCAGACTGTCCCTGCGCAGAAGGGCGCTGAGCCCGTGTGCAGGGTGCGAACAGAGAGCTTGCCTCAGCAGCACAGCACGGGTCGCTGAGCAGGTACCCGAGCCGGGTGCATGGCACACACCTGTAGTCCCGCACTCAGAAGGCTGGGGCAGAGGATCACTGAGTCCAAGACCAGCCTGGCCTACGAAGTGAGCCCCAGGCCACCTGAACGGCATAGTGAGACCTATCTCAGAGGCCAAAGCAACTGAGCACTCATGAGTTAGGGAAGCACAGTGCCCTCAGGTTTAGGCTCCTGGGGCTCGGTCTCAGGACTCAGACTAGAGGGCAGTTTTACATTTACTTCCTTCTCCCTCATTTTTATGCAGAAAGTTCTTATCTATTTAAAAAGTACAGGTTTGCCAGCTGCCGCCCAGGGTCTGATCCCTGTGGTGCCACGCCGGCCCCACCCCCAGCGCATGCTGAGATGGCTACCGAGACTAGGCGTGGTGGTGTGCCCCTGTAGTCCCAGCTCCTGGGAGGCTGAACACAGGAGAATCACTACGAATCTGATCTACGGAATGAGTCCCTGTAGACCCTGTAGATCCTTGCTAAAATACAAAAACAAAACAACAAAAAAAAATACATGCTTGTGCCTGGCGAGGAGACACAGGCCTGAAGTCCCAGCGCTCAGGAAGCCTCTGAGACAGGAGCATCGCTGTGAGGGAGTCAGCCAACTGTATGGCAAGACCTGTCTCAACCCTCACCCCCAAAAAGAGTACACGTTTACACCAAAAGAAAAAATTATCATTTAACATTATGTAAGCAGCCAGGGATATAGCTCAGTGGGATGGCGCCTGCCTGGCAAGTGCAAGGTCGCGAGTTCATTTCCCAATACTAAAAATATAAAGCTATGCAGTTTACAGAGCAGAAGTCCCTGCCCTATCCACTCACCCTGTTCTCCAGGTAAATGCTGACGCTGGTATAGGAGGCTCCGACAGGCCCAGCACACACAGAAGCCCAGCGCTTTGAGCAGCACCTCCAGAGGTGCGCTGAGCTGTACTTCCTTTGCTCCCGAGGAGCATGCCATCGTCGTGTACAGGTTCTCCCTGGTCCACTGGCCTTGCTCACACTTGTGTGCACATGGGTTAGCTCTGCTTACTCTCTGAAGATGCTGTGAAGAAAGGGCTGGCCAGATAGCTCAGTGGACTAAAGCGCCTGCCTACGCAGGTGCAGCGACTGGTGTTTGACCCCCAGCATGCCATGCCAGCATGCGGAGACAGTGAATGAGACTGGGCGTGTTGGCGTGCACAGGTAATCCCAGCCCTTTGGAGGCTGAAAACAGGATCACTACGAATCCGGTCTGTGTAGTGAGACCCTGTAGACCCTGTACTAAAATACAAAAAAAAAAAAGATACTGTGAAGAAACATCATTGTCCATATGTCTTTGTGAACACCAGAAATACTGCTGTAGGGATGAAGTGCTGAGCTAGTTTAGTTACCTGCTTTAGAGGGTAAGAGAATTTAATGAATTGTAATGCCTTGCATTAAAGTATAAATTCCAGTAAGGGTAGGGAGTTCGTCTTATTCAGCATTGTATTCTAGCTCCAACAGTCCCTGGAACACAGTAACACACGCCAGCAGGCCCAGGGCCTTCCCGCTGAGCTACATCCCCGGCCAGCTTTGGTGGCATTTTTGGGGCGGAGTCTCTCTAAGTCCCTAAATCACCCCGGCTGCACTCAAACGTGTGCTCCTCCTGCTTCAGCTTCTCAAAGTGCTGGAATTACAGGCATGTGCTAGCTTGCCCAGTTATAAATATTTTCAGTTTGCCTTCTCTAGTTCTGTTCCTACCAGTGGTATTCCAGAGTACCTGTTCTGAGGTCCTAATCAAGACAAGATACTTAAAAATTTCACATGCACATTTCAAGCTGTGTCTTAATTTTATATTTCTATTTCATCCAAATTGTGAGTGCATTTTGGTAATACGAATTTGTGAAGCACCTCTTGTCGAGGGCCGTGTGTGGTGTGGGCACTAGCTTCTCTTCACTGTGTGTGTCAAAGCACTTCCACACACTCAGCATCTTCTCTGTTCTCCGATGTGTGACTCAGCCTGCTGCAGCGGTTTGTCCTCTGCTTTTTGCCTGGCACCGGATTATGTGGGAAAAGCCCCTTGTGCCTCTGCCTGTTTGGTGAGGACACTGCCTGCTGCCTGCTGACCACTGTCGGCTGCTGCTTCCCAGTGCTTTTGTGCTCTTGGCTACAGGCATGTGTCGGAATTACATACAGAGGATGCTGCGAGTTGATCTCTGTCTCGTTCTGGACTTCCTTCTAGGTACTTGTTTGCCTTGCAGCTCAAGAGGGACCTGCTGGAGGAGCGTCTGACTTGTGCTGCCGCCACTGCGGCCCTGCTTACGTCCCACCTGCTGCAGGGTTCGTATCTGGCCAGCAGGCAGCACCATAGAGGAGCCACACTTAGCTGCTTGTGCGCGCCAGAGTAGCAAGTGAACCTGACCATTAAAGAGTGGGGCAGTTCCATTGGCGTGTGTTCTTGATGAGCCGAAAGTTAACTTTTGTAGCCTGGAACTCCTTGTAGCAAATAGTCTCTATCCTGAGGCCCAAGGCTGAAATCGTTCTCTCAAGCTGTCTCTCTTCTGTGCCTTTACCCATTTTGGCAGTATGAAGCCCAGCATGGTGGTACACCCCGTCGTCACACCAGCGTTCAGGAAGCTGAGGTGGAAGGATCACCATGCATTTAGGGCCAGCCAGGGCTACATAGCTAGCTCCGGGCCAGCATGAACTGTGTAGTAAGACCCTGTCTCAAAGAAAACAAAACTCAGCTGGACTTGGTGGCACATTCCTGTCACCCAGCACTCAGGAGGCTGAGTAGATGAGTCACAAGTTGGAGGCCAGCCTTGGCTGCAGAGTGAGTTTAAGGTCAGCCTGAGCTGCAAAGTAAGATTTTGTCTCAAAGTAAATAAACAAAACGCATTATACTGATTATAATAGCTGAGAGTGTACAGCAGGCCCTGTTGCAGCTAAATATAAAGTACAGTTACTAAAAATAATGATGCTCTGGGAGGCTGAGACAGGAAGATTGCAAGTTGAAACAGCCTGTGCAACTTGGCAAGATTCTGTCTCAGAAAATAAGGAAACAGCTGGAGATATAGCTCAGTACAAAGGTCCTGTGTTGTGGTTACCTGTTTTCTCATTGCTGAGACAAAATCCTGGGGAAGGAAAGGTTTATTTAGCTCACAATTTGTGGAGGTTTCATTACATGCCCAGCTGGCTCCAAGGCAGAGTGTCACATGGCAGAAGGTAGCCGTTCATAGCAGCAGAAAATGCAAAACAGCAAGACCAGAATGGGACAAGAAGCAGCAGGAGCAGACCTCTGTCCCTCCCTTATACTGTATTCATGCTCTCTGTCACCGGGTGGGTATAGACCTCACACCCATAATCTCAGCATTGGACCATGGACCAGTCACAAGCTCTAGAAGCCACCCCATGTTTGCAGAAGGCTTTGGGGGGACACCTAGACATAAATCATAATATGCTGGCTCAACAAACTCGGTACCATAGATGATGCATTGCTTGATTCCACATGAAACTTAAGGCTTGCCATCCACATTTTCAGAGCCTTTGGAGGTTAATAATTCCTTTTATTTGCCCTCATATTTGTCTTTAGACACATAAAATACATGGATAAAGTACAGAATCTTGGGGGCTTTAGCAATATGTTACGTATTTTGTGGCAGACTTAGGGTACTTTTTGTTTTACTGTTTACTCATGCATTTGCACGTACATGTGCTTGTTGTTTATTTCAAAATCTGAATGACTGACTGACTTGTCTCATCTCAGCGGAAATAGGAGATTATGATGAAACCCTGGACCGAGAACACCTGAAAACCACCGTATACTTGCCCAGCCAGGAGCAGGTACTCGAGAAGATCCTGGCCTTCCACCAGAGGCACATGTGAGTTGCTCGGGTGCTGCTGTGAACAGCACTTGACCCAGGGCTTCTGTGGAATTCAGCCCAAGCAGCACCCAAAGGCCCAGCCTACAGCCACTTCTGAGGCCCTGCTGCTTTGGAAGGGGTGGCCAGGGCATCAGGGCCTGGGGAGGAAGATGCCAGCAAGCAGGGTTCCCTCTCTGGGCAGTAGCTCCTTGTGGCATCAAGGAAGCAAACCAGGCGTGCCATGTCTGTAGTATGGCTAGAGTCCTCCTGCAGGAGGAAGTAGTCCATGCTGTGCCACGGTGCAGTGCAACTGGCTCCATCGTGCTGGAGGCTACTGCCTTTGATACACCGTGCTCTGACTTTTAAGACCTGACACTGATGCACTCCAGAGTGTGCCGAGCAGAGGGGCTGCCATGGGCTAGGCTCTACCTGGGACACTTGCTTGCCGTTGTGAAGGGACTGTTAGATGCAAGTCTGCTTGGTCAGATAATGCCTGAAGGACACTGTGCCAGCCTGTCCTGACGGCACAGGCAGGACAGTTCCATGGGCAGACCAATGCTGCTGGCCTGTGTGTCACTCTGTGAGATGGGCTTACATCATGTCACCACTCTCAGAACTGGGTGCCAGTGCTGCTTGTGTGGATACGCAAGGTACAGCTGCCAGCAAGAACCACTGAGTACAGAAGGCACAGCTTCTGCAGCACGAGCTGGGAATCACGGGCTGTGCCTACTGAGTGGGGTGGGGAAGGTAGGAGAGTCCTCAGGGAGGCCCTTTGAGGGCCAGCCAGATGGAGGGGTGGGAAGCGCGCAGCAGAGCTCCAGCAGTGGGGGAGGGAAGGTTGTATGGCAGGATGCTGACAGTGGCCACTGAAGCACTGGCGTAACGGAGCGGCAGCTGTGCAGGAGCCCAGGTGCAGTGCTCTGGGCATCTGGGTTGAGTGCCCACACAACCCGAGTAGCAGGAAGCTCAGCTCTGTCTCTGGACGCTCACTCTGTCTACCACAAGCATCAAAACTGTTGCATACCTTCACTTATTTCAGTCATTCTTTATATAGGTATTGTTTTTGAGACAGGCTGGCCTCGAACTCAGTAGTCCTCCTGCCCCAGTCTCTTGAGTGCTTAGATTATAATCATGTGCCACTGCGCCCAGTAGGGTTTTTTTTTTTTATTTCTTTATTGGTGCTGAGAATCAAACTCAGAACCTTGCACTTGCCAGGCAGGCACTTGTGCTCCTCTGCTCTATCCTTGGCCCTGTGGAGAGTTATTTTTATTTATTTCACACAGGGTCTTGCTACACAGTTTGGACCCTCAGTGATCCTCCTGTTTCAGCCTTCCCAATGCTGAGATTACAGGCATGTGCTACCATGCCCCGTTTCGGTGACTGGCATGATGCCCTGGGCCAGGGTTCCAGAGCCGGCACAGCATGTATAACTGAGCATCAAACCCAGGTCCTTACACTTGCCAGGCAGGCACTCAGACCGCTGAGCTATCTTCCTGGCCCACTGTATAGGTTTTTTTTTTTTTTTTTTTTTAAGTGGAACTGGGGATTGAACTCAGGCCCTTGTGCTTGCCAGGCAAGAATTTATTCTACTGAGCCATCTCCCTGGCCCCTGTGTAGCTTTTTAAAAAGACAGTACTATGCATTTATTTTAATCAAAATATATTTTTACATTGTCTTGTGAATCTAACAGTTCTATAACAATGCATTAAAAACACCTTTACAGTCACTAGAAGGGATATTACAGGAGTATCTTTTTTAACTTTACCACTTTTTTTTTTTTTTTTTTTAACTAGGAATTAAATTCAGGGCCTTGCACTTGCCAGGTAGCACTGTGCCACTGAACTACAGCCCCAACACTAACACATGCATTTGTTAACACTTTTTTTTTTTTTTTTTTAAGGACAGGGTGTTCAGGGTCTCACTACTACATCGGACTCGTAGTGATCCACCTGTGTACAGCCTCCCAAGAACTGGGATTACAGGTGCATGCCACCATGCTCAGTCTCAATTGCCATCTCAGCATGCCCCGGGGCGGGGCCGGTATGACAGGCCCTGAGATCAAATTCCTGGCCCCTGCATCTGTCTAAGCAGGTGCTTTAATCCACTGAGCTATTTGGCCGGCCCTTAACGCATGTATTTTGAATCTTACAAATGGCAGGAAATTTAAAGTTAACTGTTCACACTTGGAGGTACATAATGCTTACTGATGGTTTTTGTGGTGTGTGTGTTTTTGTTTGTTTTTCAAATACATACTCAGGGCCGGGGAGATAGCTCAGTAGAATAAGCGCTTGCCTGGCAAGTGCCAGGCCTAAGTTCAATCCCCGGTTCTTCCAAAAAGAAAACAAAAAAAACTTAAATACGTATTCGGTACAGGATCTCACTATGTAGCTTGGACTCATAGTGATCCTCATGTTTTCAGCCTCCCCAGTGCTGGGATTACAGGCATGCACCACCACACCCAGTCTCTGCTCAGCCCACCCGGGGGCAGACCAGTGCAGACATAGTACTAGGAATCGAACCCTCGTCCCTGTGTTTGCGTAAGCAGACACTTAGTCCACTGAGTTATCTCGCTGGCCCCTACTGATGTTTTGATTAAATGTACAGAGTTAATGTAAAAATGAATAGCAGGCTGGGCATGATAGCACATGCCTGTAATCCCAGCACTTGGGAGACTAAAGTGGGAGGATCACTATAAAGTTGAGGTCATCCTGGGCTACAAAGTGAGCTCAACTGCAGCTTGGATGGCATAGTGAAATCTTGTCTTAAAAAAACAAAAACAAGGAAAAAAAAGAATAATGAAACTACTGGACATAGTTACACAGGCCTTTTATTCTAGCTGCTCAGGAGGCTTAGGCAGGAGGGTCACAAGCTTAAGACCTGGGCAACTTAATAAGATCCTGTCTCAAAATAAAATTTCACGAGAGAGTGTACCTCAGTGGTAGAGTGCTTGCCTAGTACACATGAATCCCTGATTCATGGGATTGTAACCCAGAGCTTACACACACACACACACACACACACACACACACACACACAGAAAGGAGCAATAATCTATGCTTGTTGAAGTGCATGTTTTCTTTAGACACCAAACATGCTCTCTCTCCATATGTGTTTCATGTGGTATTTTTGTTGTTGTTTTCTAGGATCCTAGGGACCCAGGGCTCAGTTGAACATTCTAGGCAGTTTTAGCTCTGCTACCATGGAGCTATTAGAGCCCCAGCCCTTTTTATTTTTGAGAGAGGATCTTGCTAAGTTGTCCAGGCTATCCTCGAACTCAGTGATCCTCCTGTCTCAGCTGCCCCAGAAATTTCATTAGTAGTTATTGATCTGTACATTGAATGGTAGAAATACAAGTCTTAAAATGTTCAGTGAGAAGGGAGGTAGCTTGGCGGCATAGCACTTGCCTGCAGAGCGCAAGGTCCTCAGCTTAGTTCCCGGTACCAAAAGTTCACTAGAAGCTTTACTAGTAGCTACAACTTCCAGAACTGGGACTACATCTTGGGCATTCCTTCTTGTCTGTAATGACTTACTAAACTATGTCACTATCCAGGGGTCTCTATCCCAGTCTCCCCGAATGGAAATCATGGACCACAGAAACCACATAATTGCATTGTTCTTAGAGACCCCGAAGCTCAGGCGTTTTAAGTCAAATGAAGGGAAAATGTGTTAGGAGAGGACCTTGCATAGAGGATTCAGGCACTAAACATGGGTGCCTGACTGGAATTTCTTCTCTCCACCCCAGCTTTGACCACTGGACACCCCATTCCTGGAGGCCAGCCCCTCCCAGGACAGGCTCACTTCCTGGTGACATGTTGGCATCATGCGCAGGACACACTCCTTGCGTGTTGGGAGAACTTCACATGGAGAAAACCAACTGTTTTGGCAGTGGCTTTTTCATTGATATCATAGCCTCATTTCAGTGTACTCTAATGGCTAGAAGTGTTCGTAATGAAAATAACTTCTAAAATTATTAAAATGGGTTTCATAAGACACTGGTATCATCTGTGACATTTCCTCCACTTATGTTTGACAGCCATATCCAGGCCCCAGTGCTCGGGAAGCTGAGGCAGAAAGATCTTCATGAGTTTAAAGCCAGACTGAGCTACATAGGGATCAAGGCCAGCCTGAAATACAAAGTGAGACCCTGTCTCAAAAAAGAAAAAAAAAAGGGGAAAGAAATTTGACAGTTGTGTGCACTACCTGATTTGCATGTGGCTGTCACTCTCAGGAGCACACTGTAAGGCTGTCAGTGAGCCATAGGATAGTCTGCACCTTGGGAAGGGGGTGAAGTAGAGGCAAGCTCTGGCCTCCTGCATGTGTGGCGTGCAGTAGGTAAGTATAGAAGCAGTGAGCCCTAAATGCGATCTCCCTTGTGTGTTGGTCAGGTGCTTTTGTTTTGCTTCGTTTTCTCGATCGCTTCTCTTGTGTACTTCGGTTCTTCCAAGCCTAGGGCTTCTGTGGTAACAGTCAAGCTGTCCTTCCTTACAGGGGCCAGACGCCTGCTGACTCCGATTTCCAGGTGCTAGAAATCGCTCGCAAGTTGGAAATGTACGGCATCAGGTTTCACACAGCTTCTGACAGGGAGGGGACCAAGATTAACCTGGCTGTTTCTCACATGGGTGTCCTTGTGTTCCAGGTAGGCGAGAGGGACGTTCCTGGCAGGGTGGTGAATATAATGCCACTTGGTCGGGTTTCTGCTGTGTTCATTGGTAGATTTCTGTTCCAATGAATAAAGTAATAGATTCAGAAGATGAAATGTGCACGTTCCCTGGTCCAGTCTCCTACCTAGGGGACAAACAGTTTTCTTGTCCTTGTCTCGCGTGTGTGGTTATTGCACAGCTGCTCACTGGCGTCCCTCCAGGGCTGCACTGGCTCCAAGACCCCCGTCTCTTCCGTGGGCATTCTAGCATTGAGCCACAGGTCATTCCCGTGGAATCTTAAGCTGCAGCTCTGGGGCCTGCCTCCTCTCTAGGGAACACAGCTGCTGGGCTGTGGGAGCTTTGTGGTGGGTTCTGGATGCCTCTGATGACCAGGATGCTGGAGCTAGACGCAGCCTGGCTTCACCAGTGTGAGGAGCTGCTGCAGCTCAAACAGGAGATGGGGCAGCTGCCTGGGCCCCCACGGCAAGAGGAAGATCTCCTCTCTGGTGAGAGTCCAGGGGAGGGACAAGGCAGCCGCTGAAGTGTGGCAAGGCTCCCATGGCTCAGCTGCTCTGCACAGTCTGCCAGCCAGATGGGGACCTGTGGATGCTGTCTGCAGGTCCTGCGCGTGCTGGCCACTAGCTGTGTGGAGTGCACCCCCACAGCACACACATACACACCACAGTTAAGACCTCATTGCAGATACTCTTAAACCTACAGAAGTGCTGAGAGAGGGCAGCACCGAGAGCCACCTGTGGCTTGACCCAAGCCTGGTCCTTCCCTTCATGGCCTGAGACTCCTTCTGCCTGTACCTGTGCCCCTGTCCTCCTCACACATGGGACTTTCTCACGGGTTAGGGAGTGAATGGCGGACATCTTCACCCCAGTCCCTGCACCTGTATTTCCTGAGGAGAGGCTGTCCCTCACCTGTCATGTGGCCATCACCGAGACCATTGATGTAGCAGCTCTGTCTCCTGGTTAGTGTCCAGCTTTCTAGCAGGCCCAGTGGAGTCCTTCTGTAGCTTTTGCTCCCCAAGGCCAGAGCTGGCCTGGGGTCTGATTGAGTCTCTGGTTGCTCTGTCCTAGGGCATTTCTGCAATCTTTCCTTATCTTCAGTGACACTGACAGTATGGAAGAGCTGCCCATTTATTTTTAGTGGTGTTTTTATCTGTAGTGTGTTGGGTGTTTCCCTGTGATTAGATTTGGTGGACTGTTCTGGCTGGATGCCCCGCAAAATGTGTCCTGCAGGCTCTCTCACTGCGGGCACCAGGAGCCCTCCATCCCCCCGGGGGCATGGAACTTCACCCCTGAATCTTCCAGCACTCCCACTGTGCGGTAGTAGTTTACCTCATTGACGTGATCAGCAGCCTGTGGAGACATCCCTTAGGATCACACAAGTGTCAGTCCATCCCCTTCATGTTTCTTCCTGATCTCATGTCACTCATGCCTCTGCTGCCAGTTCTCATCATGAGCTCACAAGTCCTGCACTCCAGTGGCCTCCTTTTCGGTACACAGAGATGACCAAGAAGTGGCTAGTGCCTGAGAAAGTCTCCATTGTGAAGGACAGGTATCATGTTGTTCAGAAGAGACTGAGTCATGCCAAGGATGGAAGAGAAGGAAAAGCAGAACGATAACCTACCCTCTCTTCAAGGGATTCATCTTTCATCTGTTAGGACGGGGAATCTGCTTCATTTTGTATTATGCCCGTGGAAAGAGGAACATTCCTTTATCAGAAGTGTCAAGATTTTATTCTGTAATATTTTATTGCAGGCCTTGTTTGTGTAGTGAAGTATTGGGAACTAATCATTAGGAGCTCACTTAATGAAAAGAGTGGGCTGGTGAGATGACTCAATAGAGAGCCAGGGAGATGGCTCAGTAGAACAAGTGCTTGCCTGGCAAGCGCAAGGGTCTAAGTTCAATCCCTGGTTCTGAAAAAAAAAAAAAAAAAAAAAAAGGGCAACCCAAGGGTCCAGTGTCGAGAAAAATGCAGGTGAAGACTGCTAGTGATGACTGAAAGTGCCTGTGCATTTCCAGTGTAACAGGAACAAAGATTGGCATAAAGACATGAGGTTTCAGAATAGTAGAAAGGATTCAGGAGTTTCCAGGAAGCAAAGAAGAGACAGAGAATGAGGGAGAAAGGAGAAAGGAGAAAGGAAAGAAAAGAAGAAACTCAAATGGCCTTGGCTTGTCAAGAGCAGCCTTGAAGACTGAAAGACATGGGGTGGGTAGTGGTTCAGAAAGTAAAGGAAGCCAGCATGCTGGCTTACACCCGTGATCTGGCACTTGGGAGGCTGAGGCAGGAGTTTTACCATGAGTCTGAGTCTAGCCTGGACCACATAGTGGGTTAAAGGCCACCCTGAGCTAAGTAGCAAAACCCTGTCTTGAAAGAACCCCAAAGTTCAAAGATTATTTCCAGTCTAGAATTTTGTGTCCTATCTAACATGACTTCTGTACAGAGAGAGAAGTTTTTCAGGTATGGAAGTTTTAAAAGATATAACTTCAGAAAAATAAATAAAAATAACTTTAGGTTCCACAAAATAAATAAATAAATAAATAAATAAATAAATAAAATAAAATAAAAAATAAAAGATATAACTTTTGCAAACTCTTCATAGGGTTATCACTAGAAGACAAAATAAACTTGAGAGTTGAAGGATGAGGCCCTTGTCAGACAGGACAGAGAGAGGCAAGCCACCTATGCTGGGAGACTTCCTTAGCCTCGGCCCCCAGACGCCCATGAGTTACTGCTCTTTCTCCTTCCTTCCTTCGTTGTTGAACCCAGGACCCTCTAGGCCAGGGCTTCACTTAAGTTGCCAGGCTCACCTTGAACTTGGGACCCTCCTGACTCTTGCTTTCCCTAAGTGTGCCAGACTGGACTGGAGAATTTCTGTCTTTCATGGGAAGCTTTGGCTGAATTAGTGATGTATACATACAAAATTTAGCAAAGAAGAAGAGGCTGTTAGTAGCTGACAAAAAGCTTAAAGTAAACTAGGAAGCAGCTTATAATTGTAATTCACCATGGCTCAAGTAAAAGTACTTACAGGTGGCACTGCAAGCCCTGGAGCCAAGCCAAGAAGTGGACAGTAGTATCCCAATACTGGGGAGGCTGAGGCAGGCAGCTGTCTTGAGCCCAGTGGTTCTAGGCCTGCCTGGACAGCACATCAAAAGCCCATCTCGATGATGATGATGACTGAATGATGAATTTAAAATTTACTAAAAGTTAGGGTGGTTTGGGCAGGGATAAATTTGAGCAAGTGATGGTGACAAAAGTCCAGGCAGCACAGTCTCAAAGTGGAAATTGCTCTCATGGTTGTAAACATGCCATTTCCTGCCAGTGTGTAGCTTTGATGGTGGCGGCAGCTGGAGGCCTTGACTGTCTTTGGTGTCCTGTTCATGTCTGGATTGGGGACAGTGATGAAAAGAGCCTGGAAATGGGAAAGTGGAAACACAAGCTGCAACTGGTGCCTACTGCTCAGTCTCGCCTTGGAGGAGGACTTGGATGCCCCAGAGCTTTGCCTGGGGGAACACAGCATGCAGAGCTGCTGCTGTGGAGACTTAGTTGTGCTTCCTTTTGTTGCTGCTTTGCTTTGAGTTTTAGGATGCACTTAGGAGAGGAACTTAAGAATGTAGTTGAAAATCCTCCATTAGTTTTCTTTGAGTAAAAGGGCAACCTTTTACTGTGTGGTAGGGCAACCTTTGGAGACCTAGGATACTTGCATCCATCTCCACATTTAGACTCATTTTGTTTGGGGCTTTGGGTTTGTGTTTTGGGGGTGTTATGTAGTACAGGCTGGCCTTGAACTCACAGTGATCCTCTTGCCTCAGCCTCCTGAGTTCTGGGATCACAGGCCGTTGCCACTATGCCTGGCTTGTTTGTATTGTGTTTCAGCAGTACTGGGGACTTAACCCAGGGCCTCATGCATGCTAGTCAAGTGCTCCACACTGAGCTATACCCCTGGTCCTAGACATTGTACTGTCCCTGAGGACACCTCTGAACTCAGAATCATCTTTGTTGAGATCTAATTCATGAACCATAAAACTCATCAATTCATTTCGTACTTTTAGGGTATTCATAGAGTTGCGTGACTATTTCCACGCCTGATTGTGGAATACCTTCATCATCTTAAGATGGTACCAGTAACTATGATGGAGCTACACAGGGGGTGTTCTCTTGTGCCAGGCTGCTGTCTGAGCTCTTCTGTGTTCCAGTGTACATTGCTCCTTTATGGCTGTGGAGCTCAGAAGCTGTGACCGGAGGGAGCGTGTCCTTTGTCTTGCTGCCTTCTACGCTGTGCAGAAGAGAGTCTAGTGATGAGGGCAAGAGTAGAAAATACAGTGTAGAGAAGCATCCCAATACTTTTAAAAATCCTATTTCCAATGTATCCGAAGTTTATAGAAAAGCTGGAAGAACAGCCCTAAGCTCTGTGCTGACTGACTGCTGGAAAATATCCTCACCTGCTCCTCTGTGGTGGTCCTTCAGTCCTTCCTGCTGCTGGGAAGAAGGGTCCTTTCTTCAGTTCCTTTGTCACTGTGGACTCACAGACTTAAATCTGATACCTGGTGATTGATTGCTGTTGGTACTTATTTGAATTGCTCTGCAGTTGGCCTGAGAGAGCCTCTTCAAGCTGGCTCCTGTATTGTTCTGACCTGTCCTCTCTGTTTTTTTGGTTTTTTTCCCCCCTGCGGAACCGGAGATTGAACTCAGGCCCTTGCACTTGCCAAGCAAGCGCTTACTCTACTGAGCTATCTCCCCGGCCTCCCCTCTGTTTTTGAGTATTTGTTTCCTCCTGTTCCACAAGGCCCTTCAGGTTTATTCTGAGACAGGATCACTAAATTGTGTAGGCTGGGTTTGAATTTGGCAGTTGTCCTGCCTCAGCCTCCCAGGGTAGTGGGATTATATGTGTACTGCCACACCCAGCTCAAAGTGTATAATGTTAACATTGATTTTTGATTTTTTTTTTTTTTTTTTTTTTTTTGGGCGGAACCAGGGATTGAACTTAGGCCCTTGCACTTGCCAGGGAAGCGCTTATTCCACTAAGCCATCTCTCCGGCCCCAACATTGATTTTTGAAAAGTGTAATAAAGGGTTATTAAAGAAATCAAGGGGAGAGCTTCCTGTTACCCTGCGCCAGTGGGACTAGTCCCAGCCCAGGCACAGAGTAGGCCAGACCCTCTCCCACCCCCTTGGGATGCCCCCCACCTCTCTGCAGCATCTCCCCCACCCCGCCCACCAAGTAGGAATTTCTGCTGCGTTCCGAGAACCCCCAGACCCAGTCCTAGCCCAGACCCAGTGAGTGTGAGAGAGAGCTTCCTCCACCCCCTACTCTACCTTGCCCCCTCCAGGCACAGCTCAGGCCTGGCATACATGCCTGGGGTGTAACCCTGCAACTGCAATCTCTGCAGAGAGTGTAGAGGATAGATCCACCCAGCTAGTCCAGGAGCAGAACATCTTGCCACATGGGCACA